CTCGTAAAAGTGTGACTGAACCATACTTTCCAGGAATAGCACTCTTGGGCATCTCGAAAGTTCAGGGGAATTGGATCGCTTAGGCTTTTCCTACTAATATAACGCTGAACTGAGAAGGCCAGAACTGTGCATCTCATGCGATCCTTCGTCTACATACTTCACCAACGGTACACATCGGCGTTAGCCACGGAAATGTGTTCGGCTTATAGGCCTGCATGTGCTTGCATACTTTAGGTGATCCCACTGTTAACGCTTGTGAAAGCTCGAGCTCACAATTTATAAGGTAGAATGTCTTGGCAGTATGTCTCCACTTTGTTGCTATTTACTTTTGGTGTCCTATTACTTTGGTTCGGCATCAATGCATCCTTCAACAGGTACACCAATTCATCCCACAACTAACCCCACAGTTAGATGACCTATGGCGTTGTTGAAGTGGAAGTAAATGGGTGCGCTTCATCTTAGTATGTATGGTTAAAAATTACTTTCACTACTTGGATATATCTTTCTCTTCGCTGATTCCCTGAAAAGGCGTAATTCAACCATATCGTTGTCTCACTCTTGACAAACTTTCCTGGTCATTAATCACCAGTGGGAACGATTATGGAATTCCTGTTTACTGACTTTACCAGTTGCGGCCGAAATTCGCAGTCGCCACCCATCTGAACATTTATGTTGAGATGGTCTCCCAATGATAAGCCGTCGTCCACGGGGTACAACACACGATCGAAGACAAAACTGGAACGGAAGTAGCGGATGCAATTTAGGCAGTAGCAACCCATTTGTCTGGTAACTCCTACACACGTCGGAACTCTGATCGCTGACCAGATTGTTGGGTGGTACACCAGTGTGATTGGTAAATGGATGCATCTGTGAATTCTTCACAGTTCCGCAAAAAAACCTTTGAATGGGCCACTATGAATTGGCACGTACCTTTTACGACTTGAACTGACTTTCCGTAAGAAGGTATCGACTTGGCCTACCATTTATCATAGCTGACAACTTAGCTGCAATTCGTAGGCTAAGTGTGCGCAAGACACCTGCTGTTAAGCTGGGTGTCACAAATAGTTTGCAACCATTCAGGTGGTTGCCCACCGATCGTTTCAGTAACACGCTAAAGAGCACGTAGGTTTGTTCCTAATTTCTGTTTTTTTTTCTTCTGAATATGTACGCAGACGGACCGCGTTTGCTCAGCACAGCTCAATGCAGCCGTACCGACAAGCAAACCGGGAAACTCCTGTCTTATAGGTTAAAGTTGCCTGCCCAAACCCAATACTCCTCAGTATGGTCTTGTTACTTGCCTATAAGTTTCGCTATCGATCAAACGAACAAGTGGTCTATAAAGTTAGATAAATTAGTTTGTCCTTTGGCTGCATCAAATGACATGTATACATATCTACGTTTTTACAGGAGCTTCCTTTGCTCAAAGCATATCCGGAGGTCTCAGTACCGCGGTGGCTGTGTTTTGCCATGAATTACCACATGAGCTGGGTGAGTTCTTTTAGTGTGCGCTGGGTAAACACCTGACTTTGGCCCCATGTCCCACTAACGCCAACATGAGGCCACTAGATTTGTGTACAGTCAGCATGATTAAAAGTGGATGATGAACCCAACGCTAGCCGTTCCGCCTTTGAAACCAGTATTCCACAGAGCAGGTGGAATCCAAACTGCCCATTGGCAAGGCGGGATGAAAGCACGGTTGTAGCAGCTAAGTGTGTGAAGTAGGGAACGTCTTACTGAGCTGAACAACGAACTAAGTTTAGAACGCAACGACTGCAGATGGGATAACGATGATGGTGACTACACGAACACGACTCCTCTGTATTCTTTCAATCGTGTACATACGGCTGCTCGTTGCAAAACGGTGATCAGTGGATGTCAGTTTTTGAAAGACCATACTACACTAGCCAACTCACTATCGTCTCGGTGAACTGAAAGCCATGACACAGCACTTCAGCAGTCTATTTTGTTGGAACATCTTAGGATCTATATTTGAAGAAGATCGTATTTACATAAGAAGCAAACTAACCCGGATTATCACAATTGGATTTGATTTACCCGCTATGTGTTTGGATTGCGACACGCAACCGCTATTCATACCACGGCTCGCTTTGAAGTAGACCCCAGTCATTACGATCACAAGGTCCGTATCAGAAATGGAGGTGGTTTGGTGTTGCTCACCCCAACCCCGACGCCCCATAACCGGTTTCGTCTTCGTTCGCACTCCCCACATAGAGATAGCCTGAGTTGGGGTGGAACTCGGGGCCTAGTGATTAAAGCTAACGCCTTGATCACTATGGCTCTAGGATCGGTGAGCAACGCTTGGCACAACGGTAAATAATTATAAGTTCCATTCAAGCTCAGGCTATCTCCATCTGATGACTCCTGACGAGGACGATATCGGTTATAGGGTGTCCGCGTTGGGAAGAACAACACCGAACCACCTCTAACCTGAATTATCTCACTTCAGACGCAATGGATAATAGAGAAATTAAGAGGTACTCCTCGTCCATTTGGTTGACGTAGCTCGCGGCACCAAGTGAAACTGTGCTAAACGCGTCTACTGGAAATCCTCGATATTGGAATCCGACTCCTATCGAGCTGGCTTTATCCAGGGATCCGAAGTAGGCAAAACCCCGACTGTGAAGTGCCTTGTCGGAGAATAACAATATTTAATACCCTTTACTTCAAGCAGTGCTCTTATGATTGAACGGAACAAAGTTCATTTCAAAACGACTTATGGTTTATTTGTGATTGTCCATCGTAGCTCCAGCTTTTCTGAGTGCACTAGCTGAAAACGCTGACTGAGGATTTTTCAGTAATTGCCTCACATAAACAACAAGGCGTTGATAATGTCACATCTGTCTTCGTGATGGCTACTTAACTCACATTTAGAAATGTTATACCGCGAGCACCAATAAGCCACTTACGTGTGTAGAAAGTGCATGAGATACAAATACAGCGCAAATTGATGGGGTGCCAACGATAGTGGGGTTCTGTTCAAAGATATGTGATATCAACTAGTAAATTGCTGTTTTGTTTTATTCCAGGCGATTTCGCGGTACTTCTAAAGACTGGTATGCGTATCAAGGAGGCTTTGTTCTTCAACATTGTCTCATCTATTCTATCCCTGTTTGGAATGTTCGCTGGAATCGCCCTCGGCAACGTGGCTTCCGCTAGCCAATGGATATTTGCTGTCACAGCCGGCACATTCATCTACATCGCCCTGGTTGATATGGTCAGTAATGAAAGAATATGTTCTACGGTATTCCCATTAGTGCTTATTCGCAGAAGATGCGAACTCGCTGTACCAAGCAGTGGACAAATTGGTGTAGTTGTATTCTTCTAATAGTAGACAACCAGGCTAGTCGTTGTCACTCCGCGTTCAGCTTTGGTTGGTAGCAGCTTCAGCGTATACACATGGAGGACTGTTGTCTGACTTTAAGACTAGTGTGAATGTCATGCTGTAATGATTTGTAGCTTGAAAGGTGTTTTCCAGCATAGTCTGTTTCATTGTGTTAGGGGCGCAGGAACTAAAGCAAATGAAACCACTGGAATTGTCCGCAATTAAGGCACCGTACTACTGATACAAATATTCAGATAACTTGTTGAAGTGCTCAATTGCAGGTATGCATATCTTATTCAATTTAGTGGCTGAATGCTTCGTTATACATCCAATGAAGTGATTGCCCCTACCGCCTACAGCGCACTGTATTAATAGTGAATGCACGCTACAGCTGGGAGTGAGACATTAAGTTGGAACTACGAATAGTTCGTTTGCTACAGCATTAAGACTAGTTGGACAGCTTAAATTTACCTCAGCTTCAGGCTGCATGGAAACATTATCAGGTACTGAGGCAGAACGATCTCGCAAACTTGGCAGTGTGTTGGACAGCAGAAATGGTGTTCCACAACAGCCTTCTTCGTAGTTGATGAACAAGATTACTTTACGCAGATGGCAGTCAATCATGTTGTAGCACCGCCGTTTTACATGATTTTGAGACACCTGTCATCACGCACCCTTTAGTTACCTCATTTACTTATCACCAAAATATAGTAAGTGATACGTTCTACGAGGATATGCTATCTTACAATGCGCTGTAAAGCGATCACAAGAAAACGTCCGAGCACAGCCAGACTAGAATTCAAATGTTAGGGCAACAATCACTAGATGATTGAAAGTCAACCACCGCCTGCTTCGCTTACGATGATTCATGCGGATTTGCATGAACAACATATGAGCGTCTACTTTGAACTATTTACAAATAAAACGAAGGAAACTTAATCTTTGACTTGTAAGAATGGACAAATACGTTTTAGAAGACGTTGAGATCCACACGAAAATACTACGCATGGCGCTAATTTGTCGATTTACTTTTCATGGAATCCTGATCACCAATACAGAAATCATTCCCAATGGAGCATTCCAAGCCAGGTAGCTATATGAGCTATCCGGTGTCACCGGGATCACCAACTTGATACAGTCTTTGTGTACATGAAATGGATAACACTACACACTAGATGTCATCTAATTTCCCCATCTCTTTTCCGTGCAACTAGCTCTGCCTTTAAGTTTGCTATACTAAACCCACAATAGTCGGGTTCGTCGGTCATCGAGAAGTGCTACCGAGCCCATAGTTGAGCAACGTTTAGCATCGAACATATGCGGAAGCGTCCGTTTTAGCTGGTCTCCAGCGATGCATATGTTCGACATCTATCCCAGGCATACCAAAGGAAGGTATACCTAGTAGTAAGAGCTAAGCACAGCGGTCACTATGCAAATCATGACCCTTCTGTAAAAGATACGTTTCCAGACTGGCGCATGACAATTATGTTATCGGTCATGTTATCACCATTTATTCGTGCACAAACACACAGACTAATAGACATGAGTGCGTATATCACTGTGAGATGCCGTGGTGACTACTGTTCCGCTAAAAGCCGTCTGAAAGAGTAGGGTGTTTTTACTAATCTGGGCATTCAAGATTTAGAAGCGATTTGAATTATTGTGCTGCAGTGGCACAGACATCCCCGGAGGGCTCCACTGAACGTCAGTAAATAGAAAGTGGGTAACTTGCCAATCGCTTTTTTATATACTGCGCTTTTCAGCATTCTCTGTGACATTAATTAGAGCATTTGCTTCCACGGGTTAGGCAGACATGTGAACTAAGCTACTAAGTTGTCCGCCTTTGTATTAGTTGCAGCGCATATTCCAAACCAGCTATCGGCACTATCCCTGGATATTTGTTGACCCAGATTTTTTCATTTAAAAGGGCAAACAAATGATTTTAGTCCAAGCAGCTGTCTACAAATCCTAGTTCGTCTTACCACTAATTTCAGCTTCCTGAGTTGAGCGGCGCAGAGTTGCGTCCCGGTCAGACGAGGATTGGACAAGTGGTTCTGCAAAGCACTGGGCTATTCACTGGAGTCGGGATTATGCTGTGTATTGCGCTTTTTGAAGAGAAGATCAAGTTATTTGTAGACTGAAATCCCTACGACACCATGAGGAAGCTGCTTATCTGTTCAACAATCTCCACACCGAAAACTGGCCACAAAGTGCAGTAAACAACCTTTTCAGTATCCTTTATCCGGTGACGGGCGTGATACCTTTTTGAGTTACTGTAATTAAACTCCTGCTGATCACATGACCACACGCATGATAAGAATACCTACATTTAGCTACCTTGTATGTTTCTGGATAGATGAGTTTCCGGTTGCGAAAAGCGCCATGTTGAAACTATAGGTTGAAATTACATAGCGTCACTATTTTGATGACACAAAAGTTTGTTGAATTACTGTCTGCATCAACCAGGTCTTGGGAATTTCGTTTCCATTTCCTTTCATGGTAACTGATCTTGGTGTGCTTCTAAATGCACATTTTTCGTTCTTAGAGGTGGCAGATGCCAAAGATACAATGCAACCAATAAGTCGTTTTATTACCTCACCAGTATCGCTACCAATAAACGTGTCGTTTTCTGTCTATTTTTCTGAAATTTGTGGGGTTTTTACGCAGGAGACAAAATAAGCTATCTCATTGGCAGTTTTGATTAGTGGGGGTAAGGCCACCTAACAAAAATTACGATGGCGCACTATATTCGGTTGGACCGCTGTGATCGTTGAAAATGAACTCATTCTAACATACTTGAGGACAAGGATAGTCAATTGGTAACTACTGATTTCTATCGAGTTGCCACGGCTTGGTAATGTGGTGTTTCTATCCATTAAATTTGGCCACTCTCATATAACCCAGGTGGACCGGAACTTGTACCGCATTTCACAATCAGCAACATCTTGAATTGATGGGCCCTATACAAAGATGGAAAATGTGTTTTGTAAGATCAATCGAAAAAGGAAATCAGTTAGCACCGACACCATCATTATGTGCCCTTCATCCCCGATTCCTTGTTCTCTTTAACCGTAATATCCTTTTATTGTCCTTTGAAGTCATGCAGATGTTTACAACTTGTTGAACTAGGAGGAGGTGAACAGGATACTTAGAGACCTAGTTGTCACAGAAGGTCCAAAGCAACCGATTGGGTCGGTGCATGTGCACTCATGGCTTATACCCGTTCGCAAGCACAGTAAAACTTTCCTAAAAAATGCTATATATGGATGCAGGTTTTGAAATAAACTAGAAACAGTAGTTTGAGATTCCGGTTTTTAATGTACGAAAGCTCCAATTCAACCATCTATTGCTGGTTATATATAAATTGCCGCAGACTGTCTTACAGATGTGTGTCAGAGCAGAATGATAAATGCTTTTTCTCAGTGACATCAGCCCTCTGTCATCGTCCATCCGCAGTTATCCTTGTCGCGGTATACAGTTCTCCTGGAACCAGGCTCCTGTAATATGGACCAAAGCCACTGAAAACATTTGCATGTTTTTCACACACAACACGCCAAGGTGTGGCGAATTTGGCATGAGACAATGGCCTTTCCCCTTTCGTAGGAAGAAAGCTTTTAAGAGTAAGGCACTGTCTAGTCAATGTAATCATGAGTTTAAGAAACAAAATGGGTGAGTATTATAACCACGTATCACATGATACTTAAAGTGTGATATGTCCAGGAGCTCAATGTAACAAGTGTATATAACGAGCAAAAGCTGATCTCGAAGAAATGCACCAGTATTGTTGAAATATACCTAGCAAAATCAGCTAAAAGAGTACTAGCAAAATTAAACGTGACCTGTCGAATTTGCAGAGATGTTTGCATAATAGCAATTATAAGTACGCTTGGTTCGAATCTGAGGTTACACCGTTTGACTGAGTCTTGTAACTTTCTGGTGGAAGAAATTTATAAAATGAAATGAGGAAGTCAGAATGCGTCGTCAAGTCGCATTTTAAATCTCGTATTTAGGGCGGAGACAATGTACTCGAAGTGTGCGGTCAGCGGCTTGCAGGCTTGAAGGAGGATTACATTTCGACCATTTCCATCTAGGTATTTTAGGTGGTCATCCTTAGATGATGGAGTCTCCCTTTGACATTATAACTTGATCCAAGGATCTCCTGGTAAACGTGGTTGGGGTACTTCAGGATTTGATAAGCCATTCAGGTTCACCGAAATTGCAGATACTGACCTCTAGAGTTTAGGAGGGATTTTAATCGGTTGTTAGGGTAGATGGAAACAGCTCTCAACATTCGTAAACACTTTTGTCGAGTCTCGACAGTGAGATCGCGTACGTGTCAGAGATGCCATGCCTAAAAGGCCAATTCCATGTGTATTCGCAGGGTAGTGTTAAGTAATCGTAGAGAAATAGACGAAGACAATCGATTGAGCACGTTGAGCAAACCGCCACCAAATATGCTACGAAAATCGTAAATTGCTTCAAAAAGCAATTTACGATTTTCGTCTATGATCGAATTCGTCCCGAATCGACAACAGAAGGTTACGTTCTAGGATGGCTGCCGCAAAGGTCAGCCTCCAATTTTTTGTAAGTCCACCGGTGCATGATGTATACGAAACACTATAAAATAGCTACCTTAACCCTGGAAAAGTTTAGGCCGACTATGCATGAGCATCATTAAGATCACTTTAGTCGGACTGTGATCGTTCTTGCTAATAACCGCTTATCACTTATTTACGTCATTGGAAAAAGACAAGAAATTCCGATCAATAACGGGTTCAAGTTCGTTGCTGAACACTAGGAAGAACTGCAGTCCGAGCCCTTGGCTCTGTGAAACGACCTATTCGACCGCAATCAGGTGGAACTACCCGTAAACACACAATTGTAGTCTCCGCATGCGAAAAAAGTTGCCGTTTCACAAAACACGATTCCTGATTTCGTAGCTCTACAGCCTGTAAAGCAGAATGCAATGACTCTGACGATCGAAAGCTATGAAAAGTTTAAGCTGGTGACATCGAATCAGGACTTAATGTCGACCGATCCCATCCAAACACCTTGTTTCATCAATAGGATTTGTTGCATCACTTGTAATGACGGATCATGCAATGTCGTATTTTAAACGCTGTCCACTAAGGCCTCGGTGATAACCGTATCTATCACCTCCGAGAATCACTAGTCGATTGTTAGGAGGGTCAGTAGGGCTGCTATTTGTAAAACTAGTGTAATAATACCTTGCTTCCAAAAATCGCAACCTGTTACTCATCCATACATGGTTGGGTGAAGAGTCGCAGCTATTGGTTTAGGTTCATGGATGAAGCCTATGGCGCTGTCAAGTGGATTTTGTCAGCTCCTTGAGAACAGTGAGCATGGGATGAAAGTAATATACTTAGTACAGTTGCTGAATTGAGTATGACATGTGTAAGTACTGGATTCGGTTAGAAAGCTGATACGGATAACATGCAGGTTCGGCCGTGGTGTAGCTGCAGAACGTCGGTCACTTCGTTGGCGCTTTGTGCCCTGTCATTTGTGATAAGTGCCATGATTTACTTTCGAACGTTGATGACATGTCCACATAATAGCATGTTGTTAAATTTATTACGAGTAAGATGTAAATGTATACGAAGTTCCGTAGAAGAGGAGAGTAAAGCCCAAAACATGTTGAAGAAAACGATACTAACCGGTCGTTTTACAGTAGAGTTACATTACGCTCTATCGATGAACGACAAACAGCAATTTTATACCGTCGAAGAAGCATTAAGTCGCAAGCGCTGTTGGTTAGTCATTGGAGCGCTATCGAAACGTTTACCGAAGAAAACAGTTAATATTTTTTATGGCACCAGCAGGAGCAATCCCTTTCAGGGTTGCTGATGGAGTAAAAAATGTTGTGTTCAGCATTCGTTTTACGACGATTGTACCTTCCTTTACTTTCCATCATTTTGGTGATTCCATGCGTATTTGTAGATAGGTGAAAGAATAAGTGTATATTTGCAAGAATATATGGTTCTGCTCCGCTCATGTCTTTCCAACATGAGTAGGTAACGGATAATAAGTTCATGGTTTCTCTTAAAGTGGAAAGGAGAAGTATTGCTAAGTGAGAGATTGTAGATGACGCGACGCGTCAACTAACTGCATTTTGTATATGGTTAGTGTGTGTGCAGAGGAGACCAACTCGGGTAGTGCATTTCAATGACGACGCACAAGAACAGAAGAGAAATTGCTACAGCATTTCAGGTTGGTCTATTGCTTCGGCGGTTTTAAGGAGTGCTTTCTCAGGCTGGTGTTACTGCTGAGCTCCAGAAAAGTATGGTACACTCTGTAGGATCAAAGAAACCATTGGTCATCATCATCATCGCATTGCGACCCTGATCGTGGACTGGTATACACGACCTTTCAGATGGAGGGAAACTCCCTTCTGTCCCCAAAGATGCCGCAGGTTCAAGAAGGCAGCTCTGGCCATTGCAATGCGTAAGCTGACGTCAGTTTCTATGTGCCCATGGTTGCTGATGCAACTGCCAAGATAAAGGAATTGATCAATCACCTCGAGTTCCTCGATAGTAAGGGTCAAGAGATCATCAAGTGGTTGGTGTTCCTGCAGCAACACTTTGCAATATAAAGGTACAAAGCGAATACCAAATAATGGAACCGCTCAAGACAGGCTATTCAGCGTTGATTGTGCTGCGGCAACATTGTCGGAGAGCAAGAAGATATCGTCCGCATAATCAACCATTAGTAGGTCCTCTCGAATGTGACCATACCTCCTGCCGAGCAATTTCAGGAGTTTTAGTAATTTGAAAAGCGCAGTAAGAAGACGAAGACTGGCAAATGCACGCATTTCGTATTGTCTCATCAGTGCCTTTAACAATAACTCGCAATAATATGTATTCAGTGAAGGGTGCGACCAAACATACATACAAACAGACAAATAGACTAATACATGATAAGTGAGACAGGGTTATCACCCCTATCCCCAGGGCAGTCTAATGCTGACCGATAATTGTTTCTGAACGCAATGCATTGGTTTAATCCGGTTAATTGCAATCGCCTCTGCGAAACGGAGGAGGCGAGAATTGGTGTGCTGTAATAGGATTGTGAACGCCGAATTGACCTCGACTCGATGACCTGTGGTCAATAAGTGACGGCCGATCGAAGAGGCTGGTGGCTTACGCAGACAAGCAGCTTGACTCTGGCCACTTTCCTGCGCGGTCGAACGTTGAACCCACTTAGATATATGCTCCTTCATTCGGGAACTCAGTGTTCTATCGGTCCTGCCTGGGTAACTGGCGCCGCAGTCACAAATGAATTGGTAAATGCAATGCGATTTGGTCCCTATGGACTGAGCCTCCTTTACAGAAGGAAGTGGCAGTTGTTAGGTTTTGTTAATGACAACGAGCTTGGCGGCATAGTAAGTTGTCTGCACGGCACAGATCAGACGCCTTGTGGTCCTCAACGAGGAGACGTCACTTTTGAATGGCAGTTCAATGATTACAAGCTTCTTAGGTACCTTGTG